GTGGTTTGAAGGTTTTGAAGCAAATGCTGATTTTTGATGTTGCTGCCTTATCTTCTTTGATACTAGCCAGCATCCTTTTCATGCGTTCGTGGCCTCATTGCCATCTTCATTGGGCCGCAGTGCAGGAGATTTTCCATTTTGGGATGGGGGGGAAGGACAGTGAACTTGTTTGTTTGTTTGTTTGGACATATTCCTGATATTTTTTTTCATCTTGGCAAGTCAGTGAAGTAAGGCTTGAGGAATGTCTTTTAGAGAGTGCCAAGTACCTTCTCCTTGACTCTGTTTGGGGTGCTCTCAGACATAATTTCAGTGAAGCCACCTGCAGCTTGATAAGAACTCATTTCATTTTGACCTGAGCTGTGGTGAGTGACACGACCGTTTGCATTTGCCCTTCCCCGTCGCACTTACACAACCCTTTTTGAAAATCGGCTCTCAGACTGGAAATATTTCCAAACGCTAACAGCTTTCTAACTACATTACTCTTTCTTTCTCACTGAAATGTTTTTGTAGCACGAGGTACTCCAGGCTACATTCCGCCATATTTATGTAAGTCCTTCATAAAACTCCAAAATCTTACTGGTTTTGAAGAATATTTATGGTAGTGATATACTTGAGGGGTCATAGAGAAAATGTAACACATCCTACAAGCCTTTCCTTGTAGGGTAGCTCAGTTGTTAGCATAGTCGCTTGGACTAACAGTGCTTTCCTGGTTCACTGGTAAGAGCAGACTGTCTCCACGCTCTGATACATTGTGGGGTAGATGAGCGGTCTCGGGGTTCCTGCTTCTAGAGGGGTCTCCCCCTGCAGGAGATCTTCAGATGTCCTCCGACATCTTAGCATTCTTTAAGAAAGAAGGAGCAGTTCACTTGTATGTGAGCAAGTAGCATTCTGGGGTTATTTGAGCAGATGTAGTATCTTACTAGTGATGCATATTTTGTGCTGTTTGTAACCACTGCATCCTCCTTTACATTCCCCGTGGGAATGTGCACCTGAAGTAAGATGTTAACAGTCTTCTTAATTAGCAAAAGCGATATAAACTGACACTTCAGAAGTTGCACAGCGTTTACACGTGTGGGTCGCTCAGAGTTGTGTAAATAGCTGTAAGGTTCTGCTTTGACTTTGGTCTTCACCAAACAGCGGAAGGTGATATAATCACCACTTCATGTCTTGATCTTTGGGTAGCTAAATCCAGTATATCAAGTACATCTGGTTCTACAAATCTAACCGTGCTATCCTGAGCTGAGTTATACACTTCTAGGCCCACTGACTTCAGTGGATTTAGGAGGCTGTAACTCTGCTTGGAATATACTGTAAACGTATTTTATTTGTGTCTACATGAACCCCTGTCCCCAGGAATAAAAGAAATAGTGTGTTTGCATAATTTATATTTTCCTGAACATTTTCCGTATTTCATAAATTTCTTAGCTGTCCGGTAAGAACTTACTTCAATTAACAGTGGGAAATCGTTGTCACAAAACACTTATGGGAATGAATTAGTACCGTACCTCCAGTTAAGCAAAGCATAAGGGAGACGGATTTTCAAAATAGGCACCTTGCTCTTTCTTGACTCATCCCCTTGTATTACTTTCCCTTTGTAAGCCTCGCTTTCTTTTACAGAACACGACCAGTTCACTAAAGTGACAGTGCCCTGTGCAAATTAAAACATTACTAAAATCCTATCAATAAGGGATCACAACACTGATCATCTGAAGAGGAAGATTTTTCTCGGAATCTTGTCTAACAGCTTCTCCCCTAAATCCTAACTCCTAACACGAATTACCGGCTGGTGCTGGACAGTGTAGATTAGGTTACCAAAAGCCCAGGCCGCAGCCCTCAGAAGACTCTGTATGCATCAAAGATGTACAGCTGTTACATGTGCTTACAATCGATACCCTCCACATCTGGTCCCCCTCAGACAGACAGCTTGGACTGCAACCATGCCAGTCAGAAAGCACGATATAACCTACATACAAAGCCAAGAAGCAATGTGAGCCGTACCCCAGATTACGAGGTGGTCCTATATGTTATGTGGTCAAAAAGCAAGCATTTGGGGAAGAATTTGCCTGTCTGAAGGACGATGAACACGGAGGCCGTGTCTTATCCCAAAGGCAATAAGTGAATCCATGGTAGAGAAGTCCGGAGACGTGCAGAGCAGATAACTTGAGAAACTGAGCCAATATAAACTGTAGGTCAGTTCACACAGTCAATGTGTAGTCTATGGTGAAGGAATTAAGCATGAAGGAAACAATGGACTTTCTGCTCATCCATTTCACGTCATGGCATATGCACTCCAGACAAGTCCCAGACACCCAGTTTTCTCTCTTCCTCGAGAATGCACTTACAAGAACATACGCACGATGAGCCGGTCTGTTCCCATTGCATTGAGTAGCGCATGGACCTGTATTGCTGCCACATATATTTCCAGTGGTGGCTGGAGCACTGAGGCAGGCAAGTCAGCAAGCAGGCCTTGAGCGAGGCACACAATGGAGCCCTGCCTGGGAACAGCAGTTGCTGGGTAACCAGTATTCCTCCTCTGCCTGCCACTGTGGCTGCTAGGCAATACTCACTACCAGGGACACAAGCACCCCGCTTCCCCCACCCGGAACAGCTCTGAGCCAAAGAGGCAAGTTCCTCCTGGAAGCTGCTCCTGACCGGAGGCGAGGTGTGCACTCTCTTCTTTCCCTCTTTCATGCTCTTACCCAGCATGAATATGTGCACAGGATACATATGGAAGTCTGTCAAGGCGCAACCAACAGGGCAACCCAAGCAAGGGGCTTCCAAGGCAAGTGAGGAGCAGAGGTGGTCGGCCATTGCCTTCCTCTGCAGAGCCTTCCTTGGTGGGCTCCTATCCAAGTACCGACCCTGCTTAGCTTCCGAGGCACGACAAGATCAGGCTGTACGGTGCTGCCCGTCCTCCCAAAATAAATGTGTATGTAAGTGCTGTTGAGTGGCAACCAACCAATGGGGACTCCAGCAAGGGGCTTCCAAGGCAAATGAGAAGCGGAGGTGGGGCCCCATTTCCTTGCTCTGCAGAGTCTTCCTTGGTGGTCTCCCATCCAAGCACCTACCCTGCTTAGCTTCTGAGATCTGATGAGATTGGGCTGTGTCCCACTGCCTTCCGTCCATGCATACGGGCAAAACAACCCTTCTACAAATGATAAGCAGCACTGGGTATTCCAAAACAGCCCAATCTATTGGCAAACTCTGTATAGAGAGCGATGAGCAGGAATTTCAGATCTACCAGAGATGGCTAGGGAATCAAAGGGCAGTGGATTTTTCCCACCCTGACTCAAATACTTGGAACCATTGACTTTCAGCGCCCTGCACTTTCATGATCATCCCTGATGAATACAAGCCAATGTTGGGCATGCAGGGCTTCAGAACATCCTTTGTCTGGGATCATGAGCACATATTTTAGCTGGGTGCCCTTTCATTTATCATGCGATTTAAGATACAGTTTAAACTGCTCTGGCAGAATGTGAGAGCATTGGCAGGTACCGCTAATAGAGGCAGGTTGCTGTAGAATTAGTAATATTTGTATCACTGCCTCGTTGCCCCCTGCTCCTCATTGCTCTGATTGAACCACAGGCTTAGACTGCTATTGAAGGGTGCCCCGATGAAGGGGAAGGGGGAGGCTGTAAGATAGGAAGAGGTCATCAGAAAGATTGCAGATGCTTGATATTACAAGAGCTCTCACATCTCTTCCCTGGCTGTGCATTCTCAACTGCATTATGTAGGT